AGTACATGGCGAAGGCAGCAGGAGGCCTCACAGGCCACCAGACCCTTCCCTTATCACTACCCGGCCCGGCGGGTCCCAGCTGAGAGGCAAAAAACATGATTCTTCAACTTGAGGAGGCACCCAGACTCCCACATAAGAAATGCGTATGAGCCCTAGTGGGTTTGGCTCAGTGGGTAGAGCGTAGGCCTGCGGAGTGAAGCCGGGTTTGATTCCGGTCAAGGGCATGTATCTCGGTTGCAGGCTCCTCCCTGGCCCTGGGTCCTGGTCAGGGCGTGTGCAGGAGGCAACCAATGGATCAATCAATGTGCTTCTCTTACATCAATATTTCTCTCTCTCTAAAAAATCAATGGAAAAATATTCTCAGGTGAGGATTAAACAAAGCGAAACAAAACCCCAACCACAGCAACAAAAATAAATGCATATGAAAACTAGAAAATAGCAGGTTCAGCTCCAAGATGGGCAGGCAGAGAAGATTGATCCTAGAGAGAGCGGGAGGCACCTGTCCTCCCGTGTTGGTGGGACAGTCACCACTTTGTAGGCAACTTGAAAATGACAAAAAAAAAAAAGAAAAAATTAAAAATGCCTCTGTCCCTGGATAAATTCACTTCTAGGACTTTATTCCATGGATGCAAATGCAACTCCCCGCCCCCGAGGCTGGTGAGCAAACCCCCCTGGGTGTCTGTCAGTCAGGGCCTGGTCACCTGGGTGCCCACCCACAGGTGCTTGGGAAGGATGGGGTCATAGGCAGGAGGGCCATAAGCATTCTATTCCCGTTCTACTGTTTGAAGTTCGCTATGGGTTCATGGATTCTCTATTTAGTGAAAATGGAAATGGGCTCTGCAGCTCAGATTTGCCCACTGGCGTGTCAGGGGCAGATTCATTTGAGCAGGGGCTGTGATGTGGCCGCCACTGCTCTTATCCGCACTGACAAATACACCTGCTTCTCCCAAACTCTAATATGGACACCCACATCTCAACCCAGAATTGGGATGTTTCTTAAAATCGCATGTCTTGCCTGGCCGGCATGGCTCGGTGGTTGAGCACTGACCTATGAACGAGGAGGTCAAGGTTCAATTCCCAGTTAGGGCACATGCCAAGGTTGCAGGCTTGATCCCCATTGTGGGGTGTTCAGGAGGCAACCAATCAATGATTTTCTCACATCATTGATGTTTCAGTCTCCCTCTCCCTCTCCCTCTGAAGTCAATTTTTTAAAAATCGCATGTGTTACACTTATAACTGGCAGCATTTTTTCTTGGTGGCACGTAAAGGTGCCTCTCCCAGAGGACAGGACTGCAGACTCTGTGAAATGTGGGTGCCTCCCATGGCACCTCCTGTCTGTGCCGAAGGTGTTCTCCTGTGCTCCGCGGACCCACAGCTCCTCCCTGCGCAGAGCACCCCAGACCACAGGCTCCGAGAGGTCAAAGGCTGCCATGATGGTCTCAATGGTGGCAAGCGAGCAGTGACAGCATTTGTTCTGCACAGGGAATGAAGAGGTGTGTCCCACAGTCTTGTGGCTTGCTCTTTATTGTTGACACGAACTTTGGGGGGTTCTACATAAAAATTCACATTCACGGCTTTTCTTGGCAAGATCCGGCTTTCATTGAGCCCATGTCCCTGGCACAGAGTAGTGCCTTTCACACCACCTGTTATTAGTCACACCCCAGAACATCAAAGAGGCAGCCCACCGTTCCCGGAGACGGGACCAGCAGCAGCAGTGACGTTGCCTCTAGCACTAAGATCTTCCTCCCCAGGTCACTGCAGCCAGCGTGATTGCCTGTAATGCGCACACAGCGTCACTCAGCTCAGAGCTATGCAAGCTGCCCTTCCTCACAATTCCTTCTGCTAATGCCATGTCCTGAGTCCTTTCACTGGGCTCTGTGAAGAGGGAATAACAGGACCGAGGGGTCACTTACTCCCCAAGGGGGAGGGGAAAAGGGCAAGGGGCCAAGCAGAAACCTGCCGGCAGCTGGAGGATCCCACAAGGCAGGGTCTACGCCAGGGGTGGGGAACGCCTGGCCCTCAGGCTATATAAGGCCTGTGACATCATTTGGTCTGGCCCTGCCAAGGCATGAGGGGTGAGTTAATTAAATGTTTGACCAAATATAGCAGGCTAGTTTTTAAGTTGATAACTTCTATGGCCTGCAAATGTTATAAATATCCAAGTGGCCCTTGGCAGAAAAAAGGTTCCCCACCCCTGCTCTACACCATCCACAACTGGGGAAGCTGTGGATCCCTCACCTGAAGGGCCCAGGCGCTTTCTGGGTAGAGACACAGCTCAAGGGACCTGCCCTCACCTCAAGATTGTGGTCAGAGGTCATCTGAGACCCATCACTGGTTTCAGGAACAAAGACCTGGCATAAGCTGGGAACTGGAGTGTGATCCAGGGAGGCCACCTGTTTCTTCTCTGTGCTAAGTTTAGGCCTAAACTCCAGCCATAAACTTGACCACCTGTGAACCCACCAGTAACAATAGAGCAAGTCACACAACTGTGGGGCACACCACCACAGCTCGAGGTTTCAAGCAGTTGCCACAGGAAGTTCTAGTTGGGCTCCTGAAGCTCTGAGCCCAGTATCCGGAAGCCTACCAAGACAAAAGGGTTACACTAGGACTTCAGACGGGACGTGTTTCCTCGCTGGAGGTCACTCAGCACAGAAGAGACGCCATCTTTAGATTTAGCCCTGAACTGGCTTTGGGCTTTCCAGCAGAGTTCTGAAATACCTTTAGAAGCTGTCCTTCCTCCCTTTGGAGAGTTGACTGAGGGCACAGAACCACAATGTCCCTGGCCCAGTCCTCTTTCAGGGAAGCTGAAAGGCAGCAATTCACTCCGGAGAGCTGATAGAGGGCCGAAGGGCAGAAACTGGGCAGTCCTTTCTGGAGGGTGGCCCACTAGGAAACAATCTGGCCCTTTCCAGACAGCTAGGTTCTGACATCTGAGCTGACCCCAACAGCCACAAGGGAATGGCCTGGCTCCTACCACAGGACACCAAGGGCGTGCCTGCTGGCCGTTGGTACCACAGCAGGAAGTTCAAACCCTGGGTAAAAACAGCCACAGATGTTTCCACCCCTCACACAGCGAATGGCTGACAAATTGTCAACCATCAGATCAAGAGTGTCTTTTCATAGACTAGAAAAACGTGTGAAAAATCCTTACTCAAATCCCCCCCGCTCGTCTCCAAGACTAAATGCAGTCAATATATAGCTTCTGGTGGAGAATAGAGTCCCACAAAGCTACTAAATCAAGGGATGCCACCCTCTTTGCCCTGGCTGGTGTGGCTACATGGTTGGAGCATCGTGCTACGTATGGAAGGGTCTTGGGTTCAATTCCCGGTCAAAGGCATGGACCTGGGTTGTGGGTTCACTCCCACCCGCAGTTGGTGTGCATGTGGGAGGCAACCAATTGATGTTTCTCTCTTCCTCTCTTTCCTTCCCTCCCACTCTCTCTCTCTCTGAAAAGCAATGGGAAAAAATATCCTTGGGTGAGGATTAACAACAAAAACAAACAAAAAGAATGCCACCCTGTTTGCTTACTACAATCTTTTAGGACAAAGGTTGGCAAACTATGGTCCACAGGTCACACCTGGCTCACTGCCTGTATTTGTATGACCCCCTCGAATAAAGAATGATGAACATCTGCAACTGATTTGGTAATAGGGAATACAAACTTTATATTCCAACTAAGCAAAATGTTCTCCTCTAAAAAAGAATTCTCACTACAAAAAAACTATACTCCATTATTATATTTTGAATTTCGTCAATAAAAAATTTGTGGAAATTTCTCTCATTACATAAATACATAATATTTTCGATCTTGCCTCTTAGCCCACGAAGCCTAAATATTTACTAACTTAGGCCCTTTGTAGAAAAATTTTGCCAGCCTCTGCATTAGGAGGCCTACTGGAATCCCAAAGCATCTAACATATGACTAGTGAATGCTGATCCTGTTATATGCCAAGAGGAAGAAGAGCAAAGCTTCTTAAATATTAACGCACACTTTTTTTTATTATATTAAAATCAGGCAATGGTCTGACAATAAAAAGGCTGCTTATGGAATACTGTTATGTTAAACTTTACTTACAGGATGTTAAATCCTTACAACTAAGGTTTTCCCCAGAAAAAGATTAATGAAAACATCAATTGCTTTTCAGACTTGATAGTTGCTGCTTCAAAAGGTCGTTTTACACAAATACTAAATTACAAAAAAAAAAAATCCTTTGTAACACAATGAATCACTTTATTTCGGTATGCATCCACATCTCAGCAATTAGTGGTCCTGAACAGAAAAGTGGAAAAACGCAGCCATTTGCCAGGAAGTCAAGCCCGCCAATTTTGGGTTCTGCCGTGCACATCAAGTTCTTTCTTAATCCCTGCTGAGGGCCATGAGAAGCTGCAGCACCAAAACCAAAGTATGCACCGAATTCAAGGTTCTTTTTGTTCCAGTTGTCAGATTCCAAACTAGACCCAAATGGATTGCAAAGATGACCAAATGAGAGCTGTTTAAAACTTCAATTTGTAAAAGCAAAAGCAATGACAGGAACAACAACAAAATTCATTCAAAGGGATCATGTGCTTACAAGTGTCTTCTGTGGCCTTCCTGAGCTTAACAAACAAACCTATCAGCTGATGATGACAGCAGAGTGCGGCAGGGCTGCGGACCCAATTTTCATTTCCTGGGCTGCTGGAGAAGCCACCCCAAGCTGGAGGGCTGTTGCAGACAGGAAGGGGGGTGGGGAGAGGAGAGGGAGAAGGCAGAGCCCCCAGGTCATGTAATCAGCAGCAAGGTGATTGTGTGATGTGTCTTTTCACAGTTGAGTTAGACATGCCCCACCAGTTATGATGGGAATCAATTTAAATATACTTTCTTGATCCCAGAAGTTCAACTATGTGGACAGTGGTTACACTTGACAGGATGATTTGTTATAGCACAACTTATATATTTCAAATGGACAAAAAATTAGTATCATTTACAGTCTCTTATTATGAACTGCCTTTGAGCAGGAGCTTCCTTTCCAGTACTTTGAGGTCTACAAGACGTATCTAGAAAATGTACGACTGTGGAAAATGAAGACTGCTTAAATCGAGTGGGGGAGGGGCGGGCCTGTGGCTTTCTTGTTGATTAGTTGCTGTAACACTGTCCTTCAGGTGGCTGAGGGAGTTTCATATTTTCTTTAGACATCATTAGGCGCCGAAGCTCCTGCAGGACAACTTTGATACTATATGAATTCTGCCATTTCGCTAGCACTGATATGGCTCTTGGGTCCACCTATAAAAAGGCAAATAAAAACAAATTACTGCTGGGCTCTCAAACAAAAGAACTGTTGTACACTGGAGTTAACCTACAGTTTAAATTTGAGTAAAATGCATTTTTTTAAGTTGAACACGCTGATCATACAATTTATGACATGCAGAATACCTGCAAGATCCCTCCCACCAGTCTGATATTCCCTTTTTATGTCCCAAACCGTCACTGTTTGGGAGAAGGAAATTACGGGTAAGTAAAGCCACCTTCAGAGAAATGGCCTGATACTTGGCGAGACTCAACCCAACCAGCTCTACAACAATGACCTGCGTCTGGGCGGGCCGCTGCCGCTGCTCAGGGCTTGTCCTTTTTCGACTCTACACCCAGGTGGTGGATGATAAAGCTGTGCAGGGCAGTCGGCAGAGCAAAGACAACGGGTGGCCTGGACCCAAGCTCTAGTGACAAGGGCCTGCCTCAGAGTCATAATCTCTCAAGTTAACGCAGCATTCCCTAAAAGAAATTTCCCAAAGCATGGGTCAAGTTCTGGTTCTGGACTTTAGGTGGAACTTGGATACAACATTAAACACTGAACACACAGTACAAGGCTCACATCTTTTCAACCCCTCCCCGCACCCCTCAAATCTTTGGAATACCTCAAAATTAAGGCTTAGCTCACGTGATGTTAACTTATGCCATACCCTCGAACCCCTGCTGATCTCCCCTTTGAACAGAGAGCAGGCCTCAAAGGCTCCAAGCCCTTGGCAAAGAACATAAGGAGGAAAAATTTATTAACTTTGCTTTGGTTTTGTAGTATTTCTTGTTGCCATTACTGCCTTATGGCAAGTGAGACTGGTTTTCATTGATGGTAGTAAAAATAAGTTAAAGAAAGCAAGGACATTAAAAAAAAATTATATACCAGTGACCCACAAATTAGGCCAAAGTGTGACCCTGAGCAAGATCTTTCAGCTCTGTGCCTCAGTGTCCTCATTTCTACCGCATAGGGGTATAGCATGAGGACTGATGAGCTCATGTATCAAAGTGACGAGCACAGTGCCAGCCCAGATGCGTGACCCCACCCCAAATGTTCATACTACAATATACGTTATCATCACATAACCAATGAACACGTGGGACCAGGCCTAAAAGTACGAGGCATTTCTCAATCCTGGGAAACAAGTAGGGGCAGAAAAAACAACTTACCACTCCATTAGAACTATTAACTCCATTCATATTAATTTTTGTTACAAATCTTACAAAGGGGGGTGCTTCTGGGTATTTAGGTCCACATTCTATTTTAAGGCTGTATATTCGGTTTTCATAAATTGTCTGGAAAAGAAGGGTAGAGATGTCAGGCAATTACAGAGAATTCAACAAAAAGGCACACCTTCTGAAAGCCCAATACCCCCGACTGCAGAACAGGTGCATCTGCTTCCATTACGCAGTCTATCTGCTATTTGAAATGTCAGTGGTAACTAGTCCCTACACTAGTGTCTGTGTATTCTGGCCTTGGGGAAAAGTTAGCATCATTACAGTTTTTTTTTTTTAAATCCCCACCCAAGGACATGCTTAGAGAATGGGAGGGCGGGAGGGACATTGATCAGTTGCCTTCTGTACATGCCCTGAGTGGGGGTTAAACTTGCAATCCAGGTATGTGCCCGACCAGGAACTGAACCGGCAGCCTTTCGATGACTCAACCAACTGAGCCACTCCAGCCGGGAACTAAAGTTTTAAGTTAGTATCATTAAGTCCAATCAGGTGGACCTGTTTTTATGTTAATTTTTCTACTTTGCAGAGCTGCCTACAGTCTGAGGATAGTGTGTTAAGAGTATTCTCTATTCTGGGAAGCCACAGTCTATGTCTATCTACTCCAGGATCATAGCCAATGCATTAAGTGTCAATATGTCCAAAGCACAGAACAGCCACCTCCTCTTTACAGAACTTCAAAATTAAGCAGAAGATAGGGGTGGGGATGCAGATGGGTACAGATATGAGAGCTGCTTCCCCACTTCATCATCACTCTGGGGCTGTGCACTGCACAAGGGATCTCAGCGGGCAGGTACCAACCCTCCCTTGCTATTTTTACAATGGCCCAAGAGATTACCAGTCTTTAGCGTATGTGTGTGTGTTGGGAGGGGGGGGGGCGGCGGGGGCAGGGGGGACGATGCCAAGATCACCAGGTCTGCACACAAAAATATTCCTTCTCCAAACACCAGCCGTGCTTTTGCTGGGAAAAGCAGCCATGCTTTTGCTGGGAAACACTGTAAAAATCCAATGCCCCACGTCAATGAACTTTTCACTGCAATGTCTCCCCAATAAGCTGTAAAATGTGCTGCCATTGCCAGGTGTTCCTTCTGCCTACAGTACCCTGGCCCCCACCTGAGCTACCCACCTTTAAGACTGTTCAAGCATTACCTAGTCAAACACCGCCCAGTTCAAATATTATACCGGACAGAAGGCTAATCTACAGCGTTCTGTCCTATATTAAATCACATTGTCTGGGTCTCGTGAACTATACTCGTTGATGGAGTCTGGACTGACCCTTGCTGCTAATCAAACTTAAAACTATTCTAAGAACATAACTAAGGAAACGGATCTTTTCCGAATGCCATGCTTGACAACACCAAGCATAAGCAAACCCACCTGTAGAGCTGTTTTCAGGAAGAAAGGCCTTTATTGTCCTCTGACAACTGTCATGCCACCTCCTGGTTTAAGGAGATTCTAGGAGCCCTTGTCACTAGACCATCCTGTCACTAGGAGACCATGGGCCTTTCTGCCATTTTTCCTCCCAAATCTTCCCAGGAAATTCAATTTGGCTGGACTAAGCAATTTGTGTAATTTAACACTGAAATGAGAACCATTACCCAGGAAAAAAGAATAAACAATATGACGCTGTCTGACCGGTGTGGCTCAGTTATTGAGGGTCATCCCTTGAACAGTTCGATGGTTCTATTCCAGGTCAGGGCCCATGCCTGGGAAGTGGGCTCAATTACCAGTAGGGGGCAGCCGATTGATGATTCTCTCATCATTGATGTTTCTCTCTCTCTCTCCCTTCTCAGAAATCAATAAAACATGTTTAAAACAAAACAAAACAACAAAAATCACATTGTTATCACTTGTGTCTGAAGACCACACTGTGGTGATGTCTCCCCATCAGGTGGCACCCTTGAAGGTACTCTCCTATGGTTCCCTTCTTAGGCACCTGTGCCCTTTCCTCATTGCATGCTGCACAAATAACTGTGTCTTTGTAAACAGCGACATCTAGCGGTCCTTGGAAAAATAAAATTAGAAGATGTGATTTAAACCCCTGAAAACAGTGTCTAAATCAAGCATGTCAAACTTGCGGCCCACAACAAATATTTTTGCGGCCCAGCCAATATAACACTATGTAAGAAATGTTCTAATAAAAAATTCTTAACTTAATTTTTACAATATCCTGTTATACATAATTATTAATAACGAACTATAACATTCGCTGATTACTATAATCATGTTGCATTCATTTCCCTTATGTACCTTACTCGCAGGCGCACCATTTCTCTCCACTAATACTAGCAGCGAATATTTTAGCAGCCGATTGCCACATCATTAGTCTTGGACTGACTTGTTTGGTGTGCTCAATTCGGAGAACAAGAGAAATAG